TGAACTTTAGTTCATACACCCAGCAAATAGTTTCAGATGATCTCCTTAAACAAATGAGAATTTTACTGTAGATGGACTAGAGCTGAGTCATTTTTCAAAACAAGGTTTCAAAACATGTGTTTCTAATAAACATCAAATATTTATGGCTACTAAGCAGCAATCAAATTTCTTAAAATGAAATGAAACGATTTCTAAAAGGCTGATAAAGAAAATAAGTTTCTTTTTATAATTCACAATTTTCCCTATAGATGTATGCAGTCTGATGTTTATGACCATAGTTTCAGCTCTCTGGCTTCCTTCATTTATTAGCTATGCCTATTTATTCCACCAAGAACAACAATGTTTCACCGAGTTGTTTGCAGTTAAACGCAAGCAAGTCTGAGGGACCTACAAGTCGCTTACAGCTTCATTTGACACTGCTCAAATACAATATGTTGACTGTAGAAAATATATTAAATCATCACAACAAATCTCAAGGTACAGAATCAACAAAAGTACAGCAGACTGAGGAGTCGCCACCTGTCTGACTTCCCTGTGTTTGGTTTTTGGATCCTCACGAAGAGTTGGCACACTTTCAGTCTGGCTCTGTTTCTGGACTCTCCAGATGGGTCGGAGGCCTGGTTGAGTCCCAGAAATTCAAAAACGTTGCGTGTAAGAGAGACAGCGAGTGTTTGCATGCGAGAAAGTAGATAATCAAGAAAGAGGCATGTATTACTAAGACGGAGGGAGAGACTGTGGACAATGATTTTTAGGACAAAGTGATACACAAGTTATGTTTCCATGATATATTATTATGTGGATTTTAATGGTGAAATCCCCCCAAAAAACGCTCCAATTTCACAAAAGTTTAAAAAAAAAGTTTTTTTATGCTTGCTTGAAATGATAATTCACTTCTTTTTTTCTTTAGACAGGAAAAGAAAACACCTTTTCTGACTAAGTTCGGACATAGTAAACGCTGAATTCATGTTCGATCAGCTGTTTCTACTTCTTTGTGTGTCTTTGCCTCCAGACAGCTTGAAACATGACAATACATTGAAAAAAATTACAACTTTCCTGATTCAACACTTCGAGGACACTAGTTGGGCTGCAAAGTGGCTCGGAGGTTAGCATGGTCGCCTCACAGCTAGAAGATCCCCGGTTCGCATCCCGATTAGGATGCCTGGGATCTTTCTGCATGGAGTTTGCATGTTCTCTCCAAACAGTGCAGGTTCTCTTCGGGTTCTTTGGCTTCCTCCCACAGTTCAAAAACATGTTGAGGTTAATTGGTGATTCTAAATTGTCCGTAGGTGTGAATGTGAGTGTGCTTGTTTGTCAATAGACTGGCGACCTGTCCAGGGTGTCCCCTGCCTTTGCCCTGAGTCGGCTGGGGTAGACTCCAGCCCCCCGCAACCCTAGCGAGGATTAAGCGGTGTATAGATAATGGAAGGATGGATGGATGGGTTTGTTCCTGGCTTCTTCTACTCTATTTATTTCAGCCATGCATAACATAGCCTATACCACCACCTTCTGGCAACTATATATATATTTTGTTACATTCATTTAGCTTTTTAAGTGGAAAAAATTTCTTTCAAATTCATTTGACAGTTCTTTGGAAATCCTACAGAGACACTATATGTGTGGGCAGTCATGTGTTACCGCCCAACTTGATAAGCACCAGTTGTCTCCTTTTCGAGGTCTGTCTGGGACAGCCCTCTCTCCACTCACTTTAGATCTTCCTTTCTCACCTTTTCTTCATTATCTCTCTTTGGTGTCCTACACAGCCTTTTTTTCATTCTCCTTCTTCTTTCCTTTCCTCCCCACTCTTTCCCCATGTGACATAACTATAGTTAAGTTAAAGCTGCTCTTTTCCTCACAATCTAAGTATCCATAGGAAAGAAAAGAAAAGGTATTTGTAGCATAGTGTTATTTATTAATGCTGGTCAAACAAGACCACGCTCATTATATGTAGTAATGTGGTGCAGTGTGGTCTAACCACAACGAAAAACAGGCCAAAAGGCCACCACGGAAGTTTTACTGAGAGCAGGAGGAAGTGCAGGACAGAAAGAGATCTGTGTCAAAGGAAATCAGAATGTGGGAGAAAATGGAGGCCAGGAGGAAGGCTGGGACCAGAGAGAGGAAGAGGATGAAAGCTTGTTGCTTGTTGCTCGAGTTCAAACCAACTCCCAGTTTGCCCTCAAATCTCCTGTTACCATGGTGATTTAACCGCCGATGTAGTGTCCCCGGAGACTCAGTCCTGAAAACACAGGGAGCGAGAGGAAAAACACAAGGACAGGCAGAAGGACTAAACAGCCCAGGTGTGCTAGACAAGAAGCGCGCTGCAATGAATGTACAATTTCCCTTTTTTCCCTTTCATGGAACGTTTGTGAAGTTAGTCAAGCTTGGCACAGTTTTTAATTAGTTTTTGTCAAGATTGTCGTTAAATGTTTCCTACTGCAAAACAGCATGGGATGTTGATAAACTTCCAGAAAACAAATGTCAAGTCGGTGATGAAGTTATCAGGGAACTCTGGTGTTCTATCTCGGATATCACTCACATTGACTTTTACTTGTCAGGGCTCATACGATGGAGGTGCTATACAGGGCTCATTGATGTAGGAATTGAAACGGCAACATATCCAAATTTAAGCACTGCACAATCATTGTTATATTGACAATGAATCAACTGTCTATGTGTTACATGGAAGGTGTTGCTGTTTCCATGGAGAATCTTTTTTTTTTAAGAGCTATTTTCTTACGTTTGCCATGTGGTCTTTAAATGACAAAAAAAATCTGACTGAAATAGTTGCTGATGTTAAGAAAAGAATACAATTCAATGTGGTATATATTAAATTTTAGCTTATATTTCACATAAAATGACACTTGAACCCAATACACACGTCAACAAAATTGTTGGTACCCCTCAGGTAATGAAAGAAAATCCCAAAACAGTCACAGAAACTTGAATCTGACAAAGTAACAATAAATAAAAATTCTATACAAATAAAGCAATGAAAATTAGACATTGCTTTTGAGCCGTAGATCAACAGAATTATTTTAAGAAATAAACTCATGAAACAGGCCTGGACAAAAATGATGGTACCCCTATAAAAGACTGATAATAATGTGACCATAGGGACATAATCAATCAAAGTGTGTCCTCTAATTAGCATCACAGAGGTCAACAAACTTGTAATCAGTCAGTCGGCCTATTTATAGGGTTACAAGTAGTCACTGTGCTGTTTGGTGACATGGTGTGGACCACACTAAACATGGACCAGAGGAAGCCAAGGAGAGAGTTGTCTCAGGAGATTAGAAAGAAAATTATAGACAAGTATGTTAAAGGTAAAGGCTATCAGACCATCTCCAAGCAGCTTGATGTTCCTGTGACTACAGTTGCTCATTATTATTATTCAGAAATTTAAGATCCATGGGACTGTAGCCAACCTCCCTGAACGTGGCCACAGGAGGAAAATTGATGACAAATCGAAGAGACGGATAATATGAATGGTAACAAAAGAGCCAGGAACAACCTCTAAAGACATTAAAGGTGAACTCCAAGGTCAAGGTACATCAGTGTCAGATCGCACCATCCGTCGTTGTTTGAGCCAAAGTGGACTTCATGGGAGACGACCCAGGAGGACACCATTGTTGAAAACAAACCATAAAAGCCAGACTGGAATTTGCCAAACTGAATGTTGACAAGCCACAAAGCTTCTGGGAGAATGTCCTATGGACAGACGAGACAAAACTGGAACTTTTTGGCAAGGCACATCAGCTCTGTGTTCACAGATGCAAAAATGAAACATCAAGAAAAATATCAAGAAAAGAACACTGTCCCTACTGTGGAACATGGAGGAGGCTCTGTTATGTTCTGGGGCTGCTTTGCTGCATCTGGCACAGGGTGTCTTGAATCTGTGCAGGGTACAATGAAATCTCAAGACTATCAAGGTATTCTAGAGAGAAATGTGCTGCCCAGTGTCAGAAGGCTTGGTCTCAGTCGCAGGTCATGGATCTTGCAACAGGATAATGACCCAAAACACACAGCTAAAAACACCCAAGAATGGCTCAGAGGAAAACATTGGACTATTCTGAAGTGGCCTTCTATGAAGCCTGATCTAAATCCTATTGAACATCTGTGGAAGGAGCTGAAACATGTCATCTGGAGAAGGCACCCTTCAAGCCTGAGACAACTGGAGCAGTCTGCTGATGAGGAGCGGGTCAAAATACCTACTGAGAGGTGCACAAGTCTCATTGACAGTTACAGAAATCATTTGATTGCAGTGATTGCCTCAAAAGGTTGTACAACAAAATATTAAGTTCAGGGTACCATCATTTTTATCCAGGCCTGTTACATGAGTTTATTTTTTAAAATAATTCTGTTAAACCACAATTCAAAACCAATGTCTGATTTTCATTGGTTAATTTTCATAGAATTTTTTTTTATGATTACTTTTGTCAGACTCAGGTTATTTCTGTGACCATTGTGGGTTTTTCTTTCATTAACTGAGGGGTACCAACAATTTTGTCCACGTGTGTATGTACTATGTTGAGCCAACACTGGATCATCTTTGTTGTTGTATTTTTTTTCACAGATTATTACTGAATACTACTTTACATTACTTCATTTCTGTCTTTTAGCGTATAGTGTTCATTTTACGTACATTCGGTGAGTTGCTGAGACAAAAAAAAGAACCAAAAAACAAACCTTCCTGTTCACTAGTAACTAGTGCTGCACCAATTTTTTTTTTTTACATTTTCTTCTTCTTCAACAGTTTTTTATTTTGTATTTAACTTTTCGCTCCGTTATGCTCATTCAGTAACAATAAAGTCAAAAAACTTCTCTCATGCTGTAATACCTTGATTTGGCATTTTTTAGTTATAGTCTGTGAGTCTTTTTACATGATAAATCCCACAATATGTGCACGTAAGTAAAATACATTGCTTCTTGCATTTGGTTCAGTTACAAAAATCACTAATGCCACTGCTCTCTGTCTCTCTTTGTCTTCGTCTCTCTCTCCACAGCTGTATCATTCATGAGACACAGCGCGTCAGCCTTTGGATTTGCTGTGAGTTTCAGCTCCCTTCTTCCCTCCGTTTGCATTAATCAATTATAAGTTGAGTCTTGGTGATTTATTAATGAAAGCCGGTACCAAAGTGTTATTGGTCCCTTTGTCTCCACGGTAACAGGGCAGAGAAGAGGGTCTGAGTCGGAGGCTCAGGTTGAATTTCACAAGGCGCTTTTTTTGTGTTTGTATGTTTGCTAAACAGATCTGCAGGCTCTCACCAGGAGGACACCTCCTACTAGTTTTTATCATTTGGAGGTGTTGATTAAGACTGTAATTAGTTTAAAAACTATGACTTCATAGCAGTGAAGTGAAAATTAAAATATCCACGCCCAAGGCCAGTGAGGGAAATGTGATTAGCATAATGTGATTAAAATATTATAACCCATAATCTGCAGCGCTAGCTATCTCTTTATTAGAGACTGGATTTTAATTAGCAAGTGCTTGGCTGTCTATGACAGATTTATTAAAGCAGTGAGAAGAAAATAAGTGAATAAAACTGAGTGCAAAAAGGTTAGATCATGGCAGCTGATAGTCAGTAGCTTTTGCTGCTATGATGTTGAAAGTTAACATTTTCCGTTACATTTTTGGAAAAATTAAATGATAATGATCATACCATATTTTGCGAATCAGTGTCAGAGGAGATAAGACTTTTTTTTAAAGTTGTCTTTAAGAAAGGTTCACTTCCAAATGAAGCATATTTTGTGGTAATAATGTGTAGCACTTTAGTTTTCCTGCAGCGGTAAAACATCGACACCAGTTTCTCAGTTAAATAATACATGTGAAAGTTCCTGCATGTTTCACACTAGCAAGCTTTAATTAGACATCGATTAAGACATTGTGATGATACATAACTTGAAAAAGAACTCATTACTCACCCATCCATTGTCTATATACAACTTTGTCCTCTATAGGGTTATGGGGCGTCTAGAGCCTATCTTAATCATTGAAAAAAATATTATGAGGGGTACTTTTTAAGCTTCTTGTTTATAATAACAGCACTGGATTTTTCCCACACCATAAGTAAGTTATTGCTCTGGCCAGCTCCACATTTCACAGCACATATCATGTTATGGTGCGAGAAGTTCTCAGATGTTTTGGTGCAATGTTCCTCACTACCAATCTCTCCTTGGCTACCTGGTCCCTGTTTCTGCTGTAGTTTGATGCCACGCTGGACGTACTGTCATCAGCCATTGTCCTCTGGCGCTACAGCAATGCAGCAGCTGTGCACTCTGCACACAGAGAGTATATGTGAGTACAAAACACACCGCTGACTTTAATTAATGTTTGATTAATAATGTGCACCCTCTCTCCACGCGCACTAAAACAAGAGCTTCTGCATTCCACTGTATGTATTTGTCTTTTAGCCCAGTATATTGTATAGCTGACTGACTGGTCTATTTAGCTTTCCTCTCTTGTTTCTGCTTCCACGTAGCAGTTTCCTTCTAGTCTGAGATTTAAAAAAAATAAATTAATTTTTTTGAAAAAACTGGAAACAGGAAATATGTTTGTTTGTTACCATAGTTTTCAACACAAATACAAGTTTTGTAAATCCATGTTTTGAAACTCCTTGTGTCAATAATGGAAAGCATTTGAGTGTACTCTAGCCTTATTATAATAATAATAATATCAGTTAATAGTCCCATAAGGATTAAATAATTTTAAAAAATCTATTTCCTGATTTTCAAGGTTGGAAAGTGCCACAGGTCAGGAAAGTGACACGTCATTGTGTATCAATGTTACATGTGAGCCTGTTCATTCATCAGTTTTCAGGCCGACTGTAGATCAGCTAAGTTCTTCAATTAAGTGTCAGGATGCACGGGGCCTTGTTCGTCTTACTCAGAGGTGTCGCAGGTGATGAAAGACCAAGCTGTCACTTTACCATCCATTAACACACACACACACACACACACACACACACACACTCACACATATACATCTGAACCTGCACAGACATTGTCACACTCAGATCATATTTTTTCTACACTTTTGTCAGGACTTGCTTCAGTACACAGCTGAACACACGGAAACACACATCAAAGCACACGACAAATCATGCTCTAAAAAGCTGGAACAAAAAATTCATAAATTAACCAGTGGATGTTTCTGCATACAGTGTAGTTGTAAAGGTGTTTATCACATGTTGCTTGCGTTCCACTTACGCCAAGGGTTTTTCATTTTTTACTGAATCTGGTTAGACCAACTGCTTCATTTATGGTGAAGTCTTAAATGACCCATGTAAATAAAGTGATTTAGATAAAATTTAACAATTTTCCTGAGAGAACTGAACCTCACACGTTGTTTGTGTGCAAATGACTGGTGGAAAGATGGAAATCTGTTGATTATTTCAATTTTTACAGTTTCTGGCTCTGATAATTGATGGAATTTTTTAAACATGCCTTCCAAATGTATTGGTGGGTTTAAAGGTTTGGCAAATTGAAATGCATCTATGCTTTAGCACTACACACTCTTATTTTGCTCACAATGTTTTTCTGTTTAAGAAAGCTCTTTGGCTTTTTTGTTTTAAATGTGCTTTTTTTTTTTTTTTTACAACGATGCCACTGACTTGACTTGATCGGTCATGCTGGAATTCAACACAGAACTGCAGTGATTGCAAAAATCAAGTCATTTTTTGTTTGTAGCTTTTTTGAGTGCCAGCTGCTTTTTACAAATTACGAGAATTCTATTGTGAAAGATCAAAGTCAAAATCTCAAAAGAAAATCACCGCTTCACTGCACCTGTCAGGATACTGGGCATCTTTTCTGCAGTGACATCGATTAAGAGACAGATGTTGAATTAGAGCTGATTGTATTCCAGCTGATGTGTCAACGGAAGAAATACTTGTAATGATGCATGGTGCACATGCAAGTGTCATGTCGCTCCATCCTGTAAAAAAAATATTGTTAGCACACAGTGCATCTAATAAAGTGGAAACATCCCTCTAGGTTCTACTATACTTAGGGATTTGCTGTTTGTCCAGGTATGATTTGGCTATAATTCAAGTCAGTAGGGAAAAAGGCAAAAAAGGCAGACTTTGGATTGCTCAGCTGGTAACAACCTGAACCAAAGCCAGTGCAGGTATAAGTTAAAACGCTTGTTATATGGACTTTCTGAACATTTGTTTGGTTTTCAATGCAGCAGGAAAATACTCTTAATGAAAGTAAAAGGAACAAGGCCTGGGGAAACTGAGTCTGCTCTCCTTTAAGCTTCTTTAGGTCATCGCTTTGGTTCAAACTGCATGTAACATAATCTTCATATTGTTGCTGACCGAAGCCAACACCGGACATTCTTCTTTTTGTTTCTCTGTCTGCAGAGCATGTGTCATCCTCGGGGTTGTGTTTGTCCTCTCCTCCCTGTGTATCCTTGGAAAGGCCATCCACAATCTGGCTACCAAGATGCCGCCACAAGTGGTGAGGCTACACACGTATACACCAGCCCACCTGCACTGGAATTTATTCATATAGAATGACATTTGGCAAAGGACTGATGTCCAAACAAAATGATATTTACTGTATGTAGTTTTGGGAAAACAAAGGTAACAAGTTTGACTTGACACAAATAGTCATTAGGGTCTCTTTCTAACCTATACCAAGAATTATTTACAATTGCACCCACATCTGAACCACACTGTGGTCGATATGGGTGCAAAATTCTACAAACAAACTAATTATAGACATTGCTCTTGAACATCAGAGAGTCATGTCTGAGCTTACACACTCAAATGAAATGACACAGTTTGAATACTACACATTAACGGCATTGAAAGTTCAGCTGTGTTCAGACTTTGCATGACTGCCCATAACTTTGAGGTTTTACTCAGTGAGCAGGGTTTTTCAGGAGATTCTTGGTATTGTGTGACATTGGATGACTGCCACCTGATAATAGGTCCGACTTCATTCATGCAAGCACAACAACAAACATAAAGCAGTAGGTCTTGGGTGCACTGACTGCGCGGCTGCTTCCAAGCACATCTGCTGCTTCGGTTCACATAAGTGCAGTAGCGCAACGTGCGGAAAGCGCTGGGTGCAGCGATTAATAAATACACTCTCAGCCAGTCACATCCCTGATCTGATCAGTGTGAAACAGCTGTGCCAATCACGATGAAGTGTCATATCAACAGCTCAACAGATGGAGAGACCTTCCTCTGATGAAGTCCCTGAACAGAGCTGCTCACATCAGGGTTACTTTTTTCTAATTTTGGAAAGCCAAATCCACAGTAAACATCATACTCGATTTAACTGTTGAACTCTTTCACAGGTTGAGTTACACTCCTCTGGACACATAAACTGAATTTAATATTTTTTTTAAATGGCTACTTAAAAACAAATAAAATGATATCAGACTGTTAATTCTTTAATTTCTGTTTACAGTATTAGTTTTTATATTCATTTTCATCCAAGGTTGAGATATTCTTTTGAAGGTTTGCCAGTGATTGTGTGGCTTTTCTTACCTTGGGCTTTTGTATCTGTATTTTCCCCAACAAAAGGCCAAACACGGGGGAGTGTGTGTGTAATTTTACAGCTCAAACCACAACGCACACACATACACACACACACACACACACACACACACACACACACTCACGTGTTTAAAGGCAGCACACACACACATATTTGTATACCTGACATATGGATGTTAATTTGTAATGTACAGTGCAGCACTTGTACACACTGAGCAACATACACACACATAAATCAGCACTGTGAGGCAGGTTTCTTTTTATAGCCCTCTGCTGTAGTTCTTCTGACGTCAGAGGTTTTTGTCTCCTTCAACCTGACTTTTGTTCATGTTTTTGTCTCCGACACAGACACACAC